CAATTGCATATCTTATTTTGACCTATGGTGCAGTGTAGATGCATGTAGTGTCCACGAATGAGAGAGTTACATAATCTGACCTCAATGATCTATTTACCATTGTGGGCCACATATGCAGCTCTCTATGTGCGCCACAGCCATAAAAATATATATACACACTGGCATGATTTTCCGGAAATGCTTTTAACAGAAAAGTTTTCCGTTAAAAGCATTTTCGGAAAAGAGCATCTAGATTGGCAGGACGCTTTTCCGCAAAAGCACTTTTTGCAGAAAAGTGTCCGTGGCCAATCTAGATGCGCTTTTCTGCAAAAAAGCCCCGATCGCCATTTTCGTGATCGGGGCTTTTTTGCAGAAAAGAAATCTCTGCTGTCTACACTGGCCCTTTTGCGCAAAAGTCTTTCGGAAAAAGACTTTTGCCCGAATGGGAGTAGCATAGTATTTCCGCAAAAAGCACTGATTTCTTACTGTAGGAAGTCAGTGCTTTTGCGGAAATTCAAGCGGCCAGTGTAGACAGCTGGCAAGTTTTTCGGGAAAATCTGCTGATTTTCCGGAAAAACTGGCCAGTCTAGACACAGCCTCTCTGTTCATTTACAAAAATTAAGGTTTAGTAGTTGTTATATGACAGCATTGATTCAAATCGCCATAGTAACCTTCATTTCAACTAGGAATGTAAATGAGTAGTTGAGTATTTGACTACCTGATAAATCTAAGTTCATTGGATAGTCGAGTTGAGTACTCGATGGCTTGCTTCCACCATCTCCTGCTGCCTCTGCATGAGAGTCAGCAAGGGGGATGGAAACAGGAGCCAGTGCTGGGAGGAGCCAATTAAAAAGACATTTCTCCCTGGCACGGTCTCCGCAGTACTGCCGGTCTCTATTGCTGCTGCCAGTGGGGTGGGAGGGGAGATTGCCATGAAGCAGCCTCCGCCTGTGTGGGTTGGGCCCCAGGCCACACGAGGCTGCCAATCCGGGACTGCTGCAGCTCTGCATTTTAAATGTAGTAAGAGCTGAGCTGCCTGCACATCTGGTTCTTAGTACATTTAAACCGCAGGGCCACAAGCTCCTGGACCAGTGCAAGCTGGGACAGAGCGCCTTCTCTTGCTGACTAATCATGCAGTCGATACAAATTGTTTCAACTACATGATTAATGAATTACCTGCCTCTTAACATCCTTAATTTCAACACTAGCAAATATCTACAAAGGACTTTTTAAATTAGTAAAATAAACATTACTGTTAAAATGAATTAACTGTCAGGGTGCCATGGCATGGCCCATGCACCCAGCAACTGTCTCCCATGCCCACAGCCCCTATACCCAGGAACCATCTCCCAACCCTACCTAGACTGTCCCCTAAACCAGGGAATGGCCTACCATCACCCCCGCCCCCCAGGGCTGTCCCTGCAGCATCCAGACTACACCAACACTGGGTTGGCACATATCCCTGCCATGAGCAGTGAGTGAAGCTTCCCCTTGGTGAGTCTAGCCCCCTGCCCAGCCTCTTCTGGCTGAGGCCCCATCTCTATCCGCTGCTCTCAGTGCCTCCATGTCCCAGCTGTGGGGCGGGGGGGGAGTGGAGAGCTCTCAGCCTTGGCTGGAGCTCTGAGCCCAGAGCCTCTCCCTTGTTCTGTCCACGGCTCCTCCCCATTCTGCTCCTTCCCCTGTGGCCCTGCCTCCGTTCCACCTCCTTCCCCCACTCGCTCCTTTTGGCCCCTATCCCCTATGGTCCTCAAACCAGAAAAGGTTTAGGCCTTCTAGAAGTGAGAACTCCTCCAGCCCTGGACCATGGAGGGGAGAGCTTTCCAGGACCCCCAAATCTGTCACTCTGCTCCCTCCAAGTGGCACAGTTTGGGGAGGCCTAGCCTCCTCCAGCCTCCATTACATGTGGCTTATGGTGTCTGTTCTGCAGAGACAGGATGCTCTCTTCATGGCAGAACACCCCCCCCCTCCCCCCGGGACTGATCAAGGAAAGTACTTGAAAGTAGGAATAAGGGATCTTTCGGAAAAGGGTTTATTTTCCGCAAGATCCCGTCTAGACTGGCGCTTTTCTCCGGCAAAACCCCGAACCGGAAAAAAGCGGCAGCCACGTTCATGCAAATGCCGCGGAGGAAATTTAAATCCACCGCGGCATTTGCAATTCCGAAGTGTCTCAAAGCATCCCTTTTCCGGGAAAGGGTGCCAATGTAGACACAGCCCTACAGTCTGCCCCCATGCACTGGCTGCACCCCACTCCCCATAGCCAGGTGCATGCCTCCCTGCCCCTGCTGGTTTCCTGGCTTGGCTGCAGGTAGCTCAACTGTACAACCTGCCCTGCCTGCCACTGCAATCCTAGTGCCAAGGGAGCCTGCTCCAGTGGAGGTCATTGGATCTTGGATCCTGCAGGGTAAGAGGTGCTAATAACTCTGCTCTCTGCTGATGCTGCTGGGCCTGATCCCCGGGAGAGGTTGATGCGAGGGGCAATCTTGTGCCACCCCATTTTTACACCCTATTCTCACATTGGCTCTGCACTCCAGCAGCTGCTCATCCTGCTCCACCCCACTTATGGCCCTAAGGCAGTCACATGGGCTCAGCAGTGTGTTGATTGGGCTGCAAGCTTCCTTCAGGTTGAGAACCACTAACCTACTGTAACTACAGTAATACAATCTCCAAACCTCAGTTCAAATTAAACTGGAGATCCTGGCATTTATAATGCAGTGGACATCAGCAGTAGGACAGCTTGGATGCTCATTAATTTAATTGGAAAATTATTCTCTGCCATCAGTATATTTCAACCCTTCTTACTCATATACCAATGAGTTCACCACCTAATTAAGAGAATTGTCCTGAGAAGACAAGCAACTGAGCATGCCTGTTCCAACAGTTGATTGAGCTTTTTCTTCGTTTTCAGGTAAAGAAAGCTCAGAAGAAAGCAGTTATCGTCTCTTGTTCACAACCAGCAAAACACACTCCAACTCCCTTGACCCGAAAATCATGCGGCCTTTTCATCAGACCCTCCCATGTTTCAATCCATGGCTGCGATTTGGCTTTCCGAGTAAAAAAGCATGATTAGCAGCAGAATAAAAGAAGTCAAGCCCCTTTCCTGAATGCTCTGTATCTCCTTCTGGCAACTGCACCCGTTACAACTATATTGTTGACATCTTAAGTTAAAATAGGAGAAGACTGTGAAGAAAGCCTGAGATTGAATCCTCTGAAAAAAAAAAAAGCCACAATGCCAGCTTTGCCTACCAAAAGCACAATTTACTTCTGAGTTTCCTCAGAAATACTGGCCATCTTTGCTGTGCTCTGTTGCCTATACGGCACCTCTAACCATTTCCAAATTTTTGTTGGCTTGCATTTGCAATCTATAGACTAAATGCAACTGACATCTTGCCTCCATCTTCCTGAATGCATTAACTCGAATACTCACTAAGAGTAGTTTAGATACATAAAATTGGCCAATTTAAGAATAAAAAATGACCACAAACAAACATCTGGTCTCATTAAGCTATTAACTGGAATCTGATACATATCAAATCTCAGCTTCATCAAATGCATTTCCTCCAGCCGGACCCTAATTTGTGTGGACAGATGCCCATTGTGCATGAAATTGGAAAGAGACAACAGATTACCTGAGAAAAGAAATATACTGCCCAGAGGACATTAACAATTACATCAGAGACAGGCAGGCGGGCATAAAAAAGAAAGTGATAAATTTTTTAGGACCACCCTCTGGATTTTGGTCACATGAGACTGGGTTATAATGTACTTGGCTTTTTTGGATATGCATTATTGAAACTGGTCTGTCTAATTGTGAAAAATATAACCCTCGCTCCAAAAAAAAACAAACAAAAAGAACTTCTGAAACTGCCTCACTTACGCAAACGTTTTATTTTTTATTGTTACACTGGAAAAATGTGTTGTTAGCTTTTGAACCAAGTGACAACTGGACTATAGTTTATGATATGAAGAAACATCAATAAAAAGGAAGCATCAATAAAAGCATAGTCGTGATGCCATCATACACTTCTGGTTTAGAATAGTAGCTGTCCCTGCATGAATTCATTTTTCAACTTTTTAAAATCTACTCTCCCCACCAAGAATTTGTTTTCTATTCTACTATCATATGAATTTATCTTAATAATGCCCCAAATAAACAACAAAACAGATTCTATTCTCTCAACTTTTAAATAGACATGGACTTCATAAATCCATTTATAAATGTACCTAAAAATCTACTCTCATAAAACTCTTTCTTCTAATTGCTACTCTTTATACACAACATTCTGCAAAGATATAGGTTAATTGTTCAGCAATCTTTTCAACTTAATAATTATGCCAAATCATTATGATTAAACAAACTTTCCTTGCTTAATCTGCTTTCCTCAACAATTACAACTTCAACTTGTAGAACAGATGATCAGAGATGGATAAGAGGGGTAAAATCTTCTGATCCTTAATGATCTTAGCAGTAAGCAAATGCCCACTTATCTTCGTGGGAAACAAAACCTTAAAATAGTTTTAATTTCTTGGAATGCATTTTAAATAATGGAATTTAGAGATTAAAAACAATGTGCTTGCAAATACTGCAGTTTCACAAGGTAATTATATGAATAGCCATTTATGTATCTAAACCTGACATCTTTGTGTACAAATTTCACAGTTAAATATAATAAGCAAACTGAAGATAAACTATAAAAAAATCAGAATTTTGTTTCCCATACCAAAGCAGGATATAATCCCAGAGACAGAATGTATCAAGTATTAAACTGTTACATTTGTTGTCAGGGCATTAGCATATTATTAGAAAAGATTTTACACATACAGCTAAGTTTTTACAATATTTTACCACTTGTTTTTTCTATTGTACATTTCACACCAAAAAAAGTTCATTTGTAGCTGAGGGGTTAGATTCTGTTCTCTGTTACACTGGTACATTTACACTAGAGTGTCTCAGAGCAGAATCTAGCCCTGAGAAAATTCAATGCTATATTTGTGAGCTAACATACTCTTTGTTTGGCTCTTACCAAGTTCTACATCCTGATCATCAGTAAGAACAAGAATGATGTTTGGACGGATGTTTCTGCGGTCCCTTTGAAATCTTCCTTTCAGACGCTGATTTAACAGGAAAGCTGAACTTCCATCCAGCATTGACAAAACAGTCATTATGAATAATCCAAGGACAATGCTATGCTGTGCCATATTGTGCTGATGTAGCGTTCTCTCCAAACAAGTTGAGTTAATGCCTTCTATTTCCTTTTTACTTGCAGATCTAACATGGGGAAAAGGAAAGCAGGTAAGCATTTATGCAAAAAAAGTTCCCAGTTACCAAAATCTTTCAAAACAAGGAGGTTCTCTTTAAAAGCCAAAATCCACATGTTCCTGAAATAAACTAATCCCCTAAATGAGAAATAAAGTACTTACAGTTTTTCACCTTGCTCGAAGTAGAAGCATTCAAAATTTGTAAGAGTAAATCTGATGTCATTTTGCTGAGTGTTGAAACTTTGCAAAAAAAGTTTAAGATACCCAGCATGTAAAGACACTTTTTTTAAATAACATTTTTTAAAAATTAGCCAGGTGTAGCTAATCAGAAATTTAAGTGATATACTGCGAGTACTGGATTTGTGAGCTACGGTATTGCAGGGTACTTAGCTGTGGTGCAAACTGAAGGCCCTCTTGGTACTTTTGGGTCACGTATTTATTTACCAAGTCAAAAAAAATCACCTTTAAAGGAAAAACGTATCTAAACAGAGATTTTTACCAAGACTTACCACTGTAAAGCCTATTGAGTGAAGTCACATCGTACACAAACTACAAGTCAAATTCAGATCTGGCATAAATTGCTGCAATGCTTATAGATTTCAGTAGGAACCTGTGTCCCTTTATACCAGGGCAGAAATTGGATGCATAGTCGGGTCTAAAAATGGTGGGGGTGACTTCAGGCTAGTGTTTCAGCACTAACTCTGAACTTCCTGGCTTTGTGGGTGGCATTTATGTTATTTCCAATTGAATATGGAGGGTTTTACAGAATGTGTTGCTGTTCTTTTCTGTTAAAGTACTAAACAAGCATGTTTTGTACTTAAAATTTAAGAGCCTAGTTCTGCAAACTCTTATCACTAGACACCTCGAGAACTGTCCAAATGCCTAGAACTGCTCATGGTAGTAAAAATTTTGCTCAGAGATAAACTGTTTGCAGGATCGGGTCTCTGAGACCCAGCTTCTGCTCCTACTGGCACCAACAGTACAGCCCTATCGGTTTCTAAGCAAGCAGGGGCATGACTTGGGTGAACAAACATTTTGAGATATTTCTTAAATTTCAATGCTGGTTGATAATCTTCTTACTTAAAGGAATTTCTTTTGCTAATGGAAGTCAAAGCACTGGTAAGAAACTATACAGAGAATATCAAGAAGCTAATTATTTCATCACATCAAGTGATCAATGAGTCAATTTTTGATTCCCTATATACTGGCTTTCTCTGGACTTGTGCCAGCGAGTTCATGTAGTGCAGTGGAAATCAATTAAAAGTGACACAAGGGAAACTGCCTTTTGTAAAGATCAGAAGTGGCTGAGTAGAAAAAGCCTAGCACAATGTGCTTTACTCAATGAAAGCAGCTTAATGTTCTGTTCATAAAGAGAGGCAGAAATTGTCTGTCCCCACCCCTGGCAGATTATTTCATAGCAATATTATCAGATCATTGCTACCAGAATTTGTTTCTTGGGATAATCCTTGATTAAATATGGTCTCAAATAATGACAAAATCACTGGTCTGAGAAATTACACACAGTTTCTACTCTTGTGAAGAGGTCCCCACAAACGTCTTATATTTAAGACATCAGATATCTAGCTGTACTGTGGTGCAATATTTAGCGAGGGCTAGTTCCCAATTCATATACATAGACCAGGATTGAAAAGTCAACCTAATTATTCACCCCAGCAAGTCTATTTACTGATTCCTGGGCAAAGTAAATCAACTTCTGCAGAATCTAAGTTTTTATTTAAAGGAAAAAATTCTAACCTATGTGATTATGGGAGGGAGGAAAGGGAGAGAGAAGTCTTCCTAAAACTGCAGACTGACTGCTCTAGTACCTCTGCTCTGCCCAGAGCTTTGCCAGACCATAACAGAGTGCACGCTGACCAAGTCTTGTCCGTTTTCATTGCTCATTTTCAGAATTCTGCCTGTAGCAGAGAAACAGGCAAGAATCATGCCAGTTTCACAGTGCAGCTGCTACTTGGAAAAGTCAAAAGCGGAAAGAGGGGCATACCCATGAGCTGTTCTCGGGGGAGGAAGAATAAAAAAATGGAAGTGAAGAGGTGCACATTAGTAGAGATATTCCCTCCTGAAGACAAACAAAAATTCTGATAAGCATAAATGTATATTTAAAAAAAACCCCACCAAAACGGATTATCTGGCCATTCCCATTACAAAGCTAGTGTTTTTTTTTCCCCTGAAGACATGGAATTTGAGGCATTTAATTTTTCACTTGTGACTAGCCAGCTGCCTCTGGCTACAAGTTTTTGGTGACTGTTTCAGAAGGTTGTCCATCACTGTTGCATCTTATCATGCTTCCCTTAATTGGATATGGGATTTATTCATTAGTGCAGTGGTTCTCATACTTTTAGGACTCAAGAGCCCTTTACATGCGTACAAATTTATGTGGAGCCCCAGTGGTCCACTGATTGTATGTGTTGTACCTATCGATGTTTCCAGTTTGTCAACCTCGCGGAGCCCTCTAGGGGCTCTGCGGACCACAGTTTGAGAAACACTGCATTAGTGTATCTTGCTTTTTATTTCTTCACTAAGCAAATACAGGCAGTCCCCGGGTTACGTACAAGATAGGGACTGCAGGTTTGTTCTTAAGTTGAATTTGTATGTAAGTCGGAACTGGTACATATTGTAGGGGAAACTCTAGCCAAACATTTTTTTTAGTTTTGGATAGCATAGGGAAAGGTTAACTCCCCTCTAATGTTTGTTTTGCTGTCTGTTCCCCTGTTCAGAAGATTTCACATCTATTTCTGTCCCTGTGACAAACTCAGGACTAAAAGAGTAACTCATCAAATACCAAACAGCTCTGCACCATGCTTTGAGCTAATAGCTTTATTTCCACACACCACCCAGGGTTCTAGGAGGAGGGTCCTTTTTTTGCTAACACAATGAGGCCAGCACTTTGTTTGTTTTGGTGGAGTCTTTGTTTGCCCAGGGAGCCCAGCATGTATAGGGGGAGGAGGGGCGGAGAGGCTGCTTTTGTCTGCTGTTCGGCAGCCTGTTGCTCAGGGGAGGGGGCAGCGGGCGTGGGGAGGCACTTTTCCTCTGCCCGGCAGCTCTGCGGGA